TGCGTCTACCTCCGTTTACCTGCTTATACCACTTTATACTTTATATTTTTTTCCTCGGTCTTGCTGTCTTTCCTGCAATGCTTATATACTCTTTGCAAAATTATACATTTTCATTATGAACAAGAACTTAACTGGTTTGTTTGACTGTCTTATTTTTATATCATTTTTAGCCCTTGATAATTTTCGTTAAGCACCCCCATCATAGTAATGGAAGTTTATCAAAATCATCATACTAGCGTTAACTCTAAAAGTGTTTCTAATGTTAGTAATGGAAAGGTAGCGTTTTTTTAAAGTTATTATAAAGTTATCTTTCTACGCCAAATCCGATGTGTGTATTAATGAAAAACTTCCTAAGGAATTGATATTGAGGTTTTTTATTCCGATTTTTTCATTTTCGTAGAATTTTTTCACACCTTGATATCACAACCCTTTGTAAATGCTCACAAGTTTGTAAAGTAGGCATATTTATATTATGTTACTGTGTTTAAGTTTTGGTGTCAATGTGCTTTTGATGGAAGTAATTGGAAGAATATAAATTTGTTCGACTTTCAAAGGGATGTACAGGTAATTAGCTACTTTAAAATTTACTACTAGCCTCGCGTCATTGAGATGATTGCTCAGCGAAGTGGAGGGTTTCTTAGAGAATTACGTCTTAAGGGCTGTCGCAACGTAAATGATGATGCCATTAAGTTAGTTAGATTTTTTGTGGTGTAATTTTAAATTTCAGGCATTTCACGGAGCTTTGTCGACTTATCGAGCTCCTTGATCTTTCTGGCTGCCAAAATCTTACAAATGAAGCATGTAGGTACTTAGGACAAAATTGTCCCGAACTCACAACGTTATCACTGGAGTCTTGCACACGGATAGATAATCTTGGACTTCATCGGCTCAGGTTAGTACTACAAAAGTATACTCAACCTTTTTATTCTCTTTAATTTTTAAACTTTTTCTATATTTTTTATTCATTTACTCGGTAATACAGGCTTCGTCATTTTTATTTGATTAGTTTTACTCATACAAGTTAGATAGGCTTCATTAACTTTTTATGATTTCCTTGTTTTTACCCTTATTGACTGCTTCCTAACCATCAGTGTTTCATGAATACGAACTGTAAATTAAGCCAGATCGAAACCGTATTTCATCTTGGATAAGAAAAATGTTTAATGAGGAAACTTGGTGATGTTCAGTGGCATTTTGTCATCACTTACTTATGGGAAATGAATGTATAAGTCCATTACAACAAATTTTCTAGGGCGACCTAGTCTCTTGTTTATTATATACTGTTTTTTTACTCTGCTACGTTTAAAACACCTCATGTAATAGGACAGTATGCAGATACTTAATGTACTGGCTCATTATTACTGAGTTTCCTACGTTCCTAGACTAAAATAAATAAATAATTCATAGCATCGATGTTTTAGGTAAATTTGATATATTTTTATCTCAATACAGAAAAATCATTTGGCTTGCACAATATTTTCGAATCGAATAATTTTTTTCTTATTTTCATTCTTGATTTAATTTGTTTTTATTCTTTTTAATCAATCTCTTTATTCTACATCTGTTATCATTTTTTCGAAAGTGTATAAAACTAAGGTTCTGATAATAATTTTTTGTTATTCATTCTTCATCCATATATTCGGCTATATCTACTTTCATTAGTCTTTAATTTAACTCATGTTCAATTTTTAATACTACGTTTGTATTCCAAATTACTGATTACTCGCTTCAGATATTGCTTACTTTTAGATCACTTCGCTAAACTAATTTGTTAAATTAGACTTAGTCTAAGCCAGAATAAGTTTCCTAAATTTATTCCTCTAAGCTTTATCATCTACTCTTTTCAAATAAATCCTGCTGCGTTGTGTATTTAAAGTGGCAATAGTAGTTTTAAATATTACAACTTTTTTTTCATTTTCCTAGCCAAATCTCTGGTAGATCTCTCAAACTGGCCAAACTCGGTACCTTAACTCAGCGTCATATATTTGCCAATAGATTATACTACAGTATATTTCTCGTGTGCAACAAATTCTGTTTATTTTCTTAACCAGAATAGTAGGGACAGGTTTTTACGTTATTGAGATGCAGCATATTATTTTGACAATATTCACATGGTCCTTGCGCATAGAGCAATTTTCGCATAGCATGTGCTTTTCTCTGTACCAGGTTGTCTGTTTATGTTTGACCAACATGTATTCGAGCAGGTCTCCATATTTTATTTTTTATGTCCTAATCACCTATTTTTACGATTCTAGTTCATTGTTTATTTCACATTTAGTATATATTCCACTTTGGAGATTGGTCTAAGATTTCATTAATATTTGTTCCAATGTATTTCTTATGTCCCGTTAGCATTATAAATGCATTCTTATTCCAACCCTTTGTTTAGTATGGGTTCGTTTATAAATAGCACATTGAAATAAAAATATCTTAATTCTAATCATTTTATTGTTTATTTGCTCTTATGCGCTTAGTAATCCTTTTATCCACTCCTACTTTTTGCCATGCCAC